ATTTCCAGCTTAGCTGCGTGTTAACTTAATGCTTAGGAATCATGGCGGGTGAAGTCTATACATTATCACTAACCAAAAAGGACAATCATCATAAGTGTTTGCAAGACAATGATGCTGAAGTTCGCGAGTTAACCTTCAGAGGCCTCAAACTATTCTAAATATTATGCAAACATATGTTGTCTCATTTCCTCGTGTAATGTGTAAAAAGTGCCTTCTGCCCTAAAACCATACTCGAGAGACATTGATTATTTTTAATCCTACTTGTTCGCTTTTATACGCTACAATTGCGCAGATTTCTTTTCAGCGATGTCGAACCATCGCATTAGCAGTGTATTCATCTCTAGTCTTTCTATGCAACTATCGCATGCCCATTCATTTATGTTATCTTCGTACTGAAGCAAAGTGCTAACCGTAATCAGAAGTTTAGAGGTGCCACAAGCGTATGCTGCATATACGCTATGTGCTATAGTATGATACTTTGACAACACTGAGGCAGTGCGTTCGTATGCAGCTGATTAAGTGTTCAGTGCGAATATGCAGTCTGCGTTACAATACGTTGCCCCGGATTGATCAGCTAAACATGCGTAATACGAATACACGCATGACGTTAGGCCGAAGTAGCAAAAGGGCGCTATCGACATTTTTACAGCACAGCGTGAAAAAACAGACGCGTTTTCTCTCTTGAATTTTGGTGCCGCTGGCGAAACAAGTATCGACTGCTGCCTCTGGATTGAGTGCAGAGCCCCCATTTTTATTATTATTACTTTTTGTTATGGTCTTGTGATTGTATATGCATAACGAAAGAGGACGAGATGGCTTGTGCGGCCAGCACGATCGTGTTACCCGTCATTTTAGCAAAGTCGCGAGGCAACAGCAAGGCTTGTTTGTTACGGACTCGTCGCAACATTGCTGCTTTTGCAAACAGCAATATTCTAGCGAGGCGTTTGTTAGACGATACACGAGCAGAAGAATTCTGCAAAATATAACGAAGTTTTGTTCGCAACCGTAGAAACAAGCACACGGGTTACTGAAATTAGGTTTACACTAGGTGGAGAGCTAGGGTAGAATGAACTTTCCATTTTATGGAACAGCCGGTGCAAGATTCGCTTGTAGAGCATTACTGCTGTGCATTTCATAAATTGTCCGGCATGCATATTCAACAGAGAGCTAGCGAATGTGAGTACACTATCAATTTTCACTCTTTCAAAATGCTTGTAATACTTACTAACTTCAGTTTGCCAACTACTTGTCGCATAAGTTGCAACTCTGTTACCAAGTGGAGTTAGTGCCACGGAGGTTGATAACCATTGCTATCGTCAGCGTTACAAACGAATTAGTACTGGTTACACTCTTCTCGTTCCTAACTAATAAAACATAGGTAGTAGTGATTACTACCTCCAAAAATCTCAGTAACCGCGTTCATTCCGCGTGACTAATCACCCGTTTTTGTAATGGCTGAATTCCCAACCAAAAACTGCTTGATCATTGGGTAATTACTCACAAAATTTCAGGCGAACAGCACACTTACACAACGACAAGTATACTTGACACACTTTTTTGTTAATATTTATCAGTTCACTGGCACCACATGAACAGCAAAACAGCCAATTTATACACTGATACACATATCAGAAACTACGTCAAAATAAGAAACGAAAAATGAAACAGCACTGAGTTTTCTTGAAGTTTATCAAAGATGCTAGAGCTTTAACGCTAGCCAATCAGTCGCGAACAATGTCCTGTTATTTGAGCGCATCTAGGTACTGAACAATGCTGTCACGAAAGAGCAAACGAGGAGGTCGCGTGTCAAAGTTACAGCGAAATCCGGCCATTCTCGCCCGCCACAAGCAGTGGAGGCCAAAAAGCATAATTAGCACAAAAAATATCCGGTCCTGGTTTTCTATGTGTAAAAACTTGATCCCTAGCGGTTGCAGTGGAAATGCTTTTTTTTGCGCCGTTCCTTCTGAAACATCACAAAAGAACACACGTTTACAAGAACGGAAAAATAGGTGACCTGCTGATTATGCTTTTTTCAGATAAAACAATCACAACGACACGGCAAATAAAAACCATCTCTGCCAAGGAAGTTCGTAATAATAAAGTGCCCTATTGTAAACTAAAAAAGAATGTTCTCGCTCCAGGCCAAACTTGCATACTCTTAACTCTTTGGAGGGCCTCTTTTTCTTCGCCTTATATATATATATATAATATATATATATATATATATATACATACAAGGCCCAGAGATCAGTGTCACGTGAGGGTCGTCGACGGGTCATCGAGCACTGCCGCCGCAGATCCTCGTAACTTTGGCATAGTGTAGTGATCTCTGCCACAGTGCGATGGTTCGGTAATTCTGTCAGCCTCTCACATGCTCGCGTCCACTTTCTTGCACAAGTCAAGGATGTCCTCTATGTAACTTGTGAAGGACTCACCAGTCTGCTGTGCTCGTTCACGTAACCGCTGTTCGGCTTGCAGCTTACGAACGGCAGGACGGCCGAACACGTCGACGACGGCGGTTTTAAAAGCGGATCAAGTGGGGAAATCGGATGCGTGGTTGTTGTACCACATGCCGACCACACCCACGAGGTAAAAAACAGGTGGCCGAATTTACCTGCCTCGTCCCAATGATTGGAGACGCTGACGCGTTCGTACATAGCGAGCCAGTCCTTGACGTCGGTGCCATCCGCGCCGGTGAAGACAGGAGGGTCACGGATGCGGGGGACACCGGAACACGGCGTCGGCGCAGGAGGAAGCGTTTGCTGCGTGGCGTCTTGGTGCATGGTAGAAGGCACGGTACAGGATCGAAGCTCCAAGGGCATCGAATGCTAACCGAAGGTGTTAGAAGGGCTCAGCACCTCAACCAAGTTGTTGAGACGTTCACTGGCGGACACTTGTCGATGAGGCTTGACAGCGACTAGTGAATGCGGGTACCGAATCTCTGCACGAGCTGCGTTCGAAGGCTTCGCCACAATATATATATATATATATATATATATATATATATATATATATATATATATATATATATATATATATATATATATATCGGCTGGCATGGTGGTTGAGTGGCCATAGCGTTGCATATAGTCAAGTAGATCCTCCATGAGTGGTCACAATATGGTTTATTTCGACGTTCCGACCTAGAGTCTGGCCTTCATCAGGATTGAAGGTACAGTTTGTTGGTGCTCAGCTTTATACAATCTCAAATCAGAGGGGGGGGGAGAGAAAGGGGGGAAAACAAAAAAAGGAGAAAAAAGAAAGAAAAGAAAGAGAGAGAAAAAAAAGAAAGAGAAAAAAGAGAAAAAGAATATAAAGTGGACTCCCCCCAGGCACCCTCCTCCACTCTTCCTTCCACTTTCCCCCCCCCATCTCTCTCTCTTTTCTCCTTTTTACCTTTCTGACGTCTGGGATCTGTGTATGCTTCCTTTCACTAACGCATTCTTCACGACCACACAGCGCCTCCTGGCTCTGGCGGTTCGGCGTGGGGCAAAAAGAGCTTTTTTAAGAAGTTTGAGCCTTTAACTACTCAGCGCCCCGTCAACATTTCGTCGTAGAAAGAGGGGTGCCGCGTGTTGCCGCAGAGGCTGGTAAACGGGCGCATTGCGAATTCTTTGCCCGCTTCTGGATTACGCGTGCAGTAGGGGCCTCCCGACTGTGCACCTGGTTGCTGTTGGGCATGTCATGCTTGGCCCAATTGATTGGGTAGTAAAGTAAAAACAGAAAACAGACGACAGCTGTACTTAGGACATGACCTCCTCTGTATATTGGTGACCAGCTCATGCCGGTTCTCTCTATGGCTGCGCCTGACTCCAACTTTGGAGGGTCACGTCTTTGTATAGTTACAAAAGTGTCACGAGAGGCTGCCTCAACTTAACCCCACAGCAGCCGACGCGACAACTTAAAAAGTGCGTAGCTCCGTCGGAACGGTTCCCGCGTTGCGAGTGTTCCGCGCCAGGTATTTTTTTTCTTTTACCGTCAGAAAGGTTTCTAATGTGCCGCGGCAGATAGATTTTTTCTTCCTTTAGTAACTTGCGTGATGATCGTGGAATTTTTTGTTTGACTAGTGCTCAGAGACGAGGCCGAGAACGTGAAGTAGGCGCATTGACGGCATGACTCCGCTCAGTGCAGCGGTCTCAACAATTACTCAACGTGGCTGCTGTGTGTTTGCTCTGTGAAAAACTTTCTGTGCCGCTGTGTTGTGAACATTCACGCGTCCTTCATCACGATACCATTGTTAATAAAGTTGGCAATATAATGGGAATCTCAATGGACGCCCTGTCGTGCACGACTAGCGGTTCTCACAGGGTGCCGCCGTTTAAACGAAAAGATTGGTTCTTCAGACATGACATTTCAACGTCTTCATGGTCGAGGAGTCTGTCATTCACTGAAGTAGAAACCTGTAAGGACTATTGTAGCTGTGCAATTTATTCCGCCCATTTTAACGAAGAGAAGTGCCGAAACTGCAATGCTCGCATTTTTGTTTCTTGTAGCACATCGAATCCTCCGAGTCTCAGTTTCAGAGTTGGAAGATTTTTAGCGCATGTATTGCTATGAGATCACAAATTACATGGAGTACGATTAGCTCCAGGCTTTTTATAAAGTAGCGTAAGCTACGTATAATCACGACCATACTTAACACACTGTCTTTATGCATTACGTGGACCAAGTTACTGAACTTACCATACATTTAGTCTGCTACAAGCAGTGGCACTTAATCATTTGTCCCATTGAACCAGCACAATTATGCCACTTACAAAGGCAAAATTCAAATGCATTCTCTGTAACTGAAGTTGACCCGAAGCTTTCTGAAAATAAATTTTGCTGCACTTCCCTTAGTAGAGTCTCTCAACTGGTGTGCCCCTGATTGATCCACTATTTAAATGCCTAAGCCCATGAATTCAGAAACTCGTCTATGTTAAAATAAAGAAAAATCTCAAGCAGAAAGAACACATTTCATGCATTGTGAAATTCCAGTACATTTTATTTGTTTGCCAAGCTCAAACCTTGAGCACCTTTAGTGACTGTGGCTTGGCGTGCAGCAACTTCCTTTTCGCATGAGTCTCGGTTACATTGCTGGAACATTTTGCCCGAAAGGGTCGCAGAAACTTCACGAGAATAAGCTTAACAAGTGCAGTTGTATGGGCTACACTGTCATTCCTTTCGCATTTGAACAGGGGGTTCTTAATGACAGATGGAAGCACAGCACACGTGAACTTCTGCCGTGGCTGTGGTCGTTTGATCAGCAAAGGTACCGCTCGTGAGGCAGCATATTCAAGCAGGCTGACAAAGCCAACAAATGCTATGCTCGGGTACGACAGTCCACCGCTATCAATGTCTGCAATTATGACAGTTGTTGTCGAGTTCAACGTCAGTGATTTAAGCTTCATGACGCATTCTTCACCCACTATGTTGTCTTGAACTGCTCGAACTAGAAACCCAGTGATCAAAGCAAGTGTTCTGGACCGGAGGCTTTTTTGTGGAGGATCTCGAAAAAATTATGTACACATAAAATAACGGCACGTTCGCAACAGCACATTGATGCAAAATTTCGAAGCAATGTGACATCGGCTAATGAAGGATCAGTTATTACCCACACGCCCATATATAATTTTTAGTAACAGGTGCTTGCTGAAGACTGAAATCAATCACTGTGGTGTCTCACTAGCACTGTCATGTGCCACTAGCAAGCCATGAAATGTGGACTTTAATCCTGTTGCCACAAAAAGATTTTTTCATGCTACTATGGTAGTGATGATGTGTGCAGTTCATGGTATCAAAATTTTTTTTACAATACCTATATTTTAGTGGTCAAATATTGTGTATCATAGAGTACCGAAATATAAGTAGCATACGTGAATAGCGTTTCAGGAGCGTCAGGTGCGGACGCAAGAGCTTTTTGAAGTCAGTATCGGAAGTGGCCTTTGTAGGAACAAGAGGAGGCACTGTAGCCTCGCCCAATGGTCCCACAACACTCCCAACATTGCTGGATGGAGAGGAGTGAATGATTCCAGTGACTAGCACTTTCTGGAGCGCCGAGAGGACAGCATATGCATCAGTTTGATCATTTGAGCCATTCAGCTGTCTTATGGATGAGAATAGTGACTCAACATCATCACTTGAGAATCTTTCAGTGAGCACAAACTTAAAGCCTGTGCTGAGGAGGTGCCTGGTGCAAAGGGTTGTTGACATTGTTGTCACTCGCAACGCTTCATACGTCTCATTCGAAAGAAATTCAAACTTGTAGCTCGAGCTTTCTTTCCATGGACTGAAGTAACTGAGGCATTCTTTCTCGAGCCAGACAAGTCTGAAAAACGATATAACGTTTACAAAACATTGAAAGAAAATTGTCTCTTTGAAATCATTTTCCTCGCTTTACTAAAGGTTTTTATGGTCTCTTATGACTTCTTTATTTGCTACTTCTATGTTTTAACAGTGTAACTTATCAAACCGACCTGGCAAGACAACAAATAAACTTTGATGCATTGCTTTTAAAAGCAATTTCTTAATTTTATTTCAGTGTTAAATAATAATTAATGCTACTATAGTATGCATTATTCACCGCTCATCGTCCTCGCCATAGAAAGGCATCCTCATGGCATCTCTGCTGGTCCAGTCCAACGCCGTGCTTTGGATTTTATGCAACGCAAACCACTTGTGCACCATTTTCATGAATTATACAGTTGGCAAACAGTCTTCAAAGCCATGAGTGCCTAAACGGTCTCCGTGCTGCTGGAGGAACCTCAAAACTGATGTCACCTAAAGGGGAACAGTGAAGTTACAAGGGTGTTACAGACTTTGCTGAATGCAGTTTTAGAGTACATAACAAGTAGATGCCGTAAATTGTGTACATACAGGAAAATATAACATTTCAGTTCAGCTCAGAAACATAGTGGCACTGATCAGCTCTGTGCCATCAGTTTGACAGCAAGATCATATCAGGTGCACTTCTGCACAGGCACAACTTTGTACAAGTACGTTGGCTGCATTGAACATTGCTTTACCTGCGAAAAAAAGATATCAACTGCTCTGCCAACACCCAATTTTTCAAAATTGCTTGGTCAGAGGTGCTTCTTTGCCAGGCACCTCACCAGCTTGAAGGCACTTTGTTTTTCTTGCAGGTCATACAGGTTCCTGTCAGAGAACACCATATTAGTTAAATAAAACCCATTGGCAAGACATTTTGCTTAAATTAGGTAGTCTGCAAGGAGGAGAATGCCACTCTTCCTGAAAATTCTCTTAACATCTAAAAATTGATTTCTGATATTTTTCAAGATATGACAGTACTCACATGAAATGAATAGGCTGTGGCTAGAATCAAGAGGGTGTCTGGAACAAGTTTTGAGATTCTTATGGTTAACTGGAGATACCCATCATCTTGAAGCCCAGCATAACGGGCATGTCATGCGCTTCTTGACACGCCAAGGTGCACTTACGTGATAACAGGTTTGATGCTGCTTCCAGACAACATTGCAAAAAACTTGAAATTGGCACTGTGGCTATCACCAACATGTCGCCTCACTTTAAACCTGGCATCTTCTACACATTCCATAACCTTCAAGGCTAGCAGATGAAACTGTTCACCATGCGAAGCTTTAGTAAAATAGTATCCCACAGGAAGCCTGTAGAAAAGATCGCGGTCTTATAAGAAATACAGGTTTTCAGATTTTATCTGTTTAGTACTGTTCACATAGCTGTATACATACCTATAATAGATAGACAAGCCCACAAAGACAAAGCACAGAAGATGTGTTGCCAGCTGGTTTTCCAGGCCATAGTCTTCTTCTGCACCCCCATAGTCCACCAAACCATGAACAGTGTCAGAGTGCTTTTGATATGTCATTGCTTCCTTTATGGACATCTCGTCCACGACAAGAGATCCGCAGCGTGCCTGAAAGAATGAGCAAAAACATGGTATGCTCGTTTGAGCAAAGCTCATGTTTTACTTGTTCATTGTGAAGTTTAGCTTCAACATCAAGCCGCTTTTTGATGATGGGTCACCACTTGTTTTGTGCAAGCTCCAATATACCGCTTCAGTGTAGAACGGCTCGGCAGCACAAGTACCCCGCTCTCCCGAATCAAGTGGTAGCCAGATGGTGATTGGCCATGCCAAGCACACATTTCCTTATTGTTTCTTTGTGCCAATGCTTCTTTTTGGCACTCAGTAAAACAAGCTGTTCCTGAAGAAACAAAGCCTTTGGGGCATTGTTGTCTATCTTCTCCTGTAGGGATTTCGAAATTTAGAAATAAAAAATGCAGATAATTAGGCCGGTTGGTACGTAGCTGCCATGAAGAACACAAGGCTCTAACAGAGCACAGAAACTAAACGATCACTGCGGCACCCTGCTTCCTCTCAAACTTTTTTTTACCTATTCAAACACTCAAATGCTATACGTAACTACAGCTCATTTTCAATGATCTCCTAAGAAGTTATGCAGTTAAACTGAGTGACTGACACTTTACATACCTAGAGAATGGTTAAATTTGATTTCTTCATGCAGGCTTTCATTTTTTTCACCTGCTTTCTCAATGCAGAAACTTGTTCCTTCAGACTCTCATTCTTCTTAACCAGTCTCTGGCACTTCCTTGTCAATGTCTTTAGCTTCTTCTCGAGCTTCACTATTTTTGTGTAGTGAAGTCTTGTTTGCATCTCTCGTGTCCTGGTAGGCTTCTTCAGAACCAAGGAAGCCTTGCATGATGTTGCAGGTGCATGAAGCAATATTGGTGGCCTTTCCTGCAATGCACACTCTGTCAATGTATCACTTATTGAGTGCGCTAGTCGTAATACTGTAGAACAAGCCCGTGCACTTTCGGGACTATGCTGTACTTGACCAGGCGCAATGTTAGGATCGATGGACTCTTCCATTGACATGGATTTCGGGTTGCCTTGTTCTTGCGCAGATGGCACAATATTAGGATCGCTAGACTTTTCCATTGACATAAATTCCGGGTTGCCTTGTTCATGTGCAGATGAAGGTTCAAACAAGCCACGATCTGCATTGTGCCCACTTTCGACTTCTCTGCTTTGGTCTTCATGTTGAAAGTTGGAAGTTTCCAACCTGGAATGCAGACAATTTGTAAAGCCCATATGAGATATCAGAAAGAAATGTGATAATTTATTGCCGCATTTGAAATGTAACTATGTAGGTCAGTGATATCACAACAATACAATATATTTAAACTGATTTTTTACTTACATTTTTCTTTTGGCGTCCACATCAAGTCCGCCCGCAGGTGACGAAAGTGGTGGGCGCTTCAAGTGTCTGCGCTCTTTCTTGGGCTTCTGCTGCAGATACGCTGGATAGCTGGGAAATATTGTTGGAATGGCATCTGGCTTCAGCCTTTTAGACTCCAAGCCCTGCTTATAATCCTCGGGCTTAAAATGAAGGCTGCATACTTTGCTTCTGTCACTTGGAACCCATGGCTGTTTTCCCGGTTCTGCATGTAATTTGTGAAAGTAAGCCACATAGTAAATAAATTGGAAGATGTGAAAAGAGCCACGAAACGTCGCTTACATGCCGTTAACACTCCACGCAAATTTAGGAACAATATCAGCCAGCTGTTATGAAAATGATGGTCAGCAAACAAACTAACTAAAGTGCACTCATTAACATCAGAAACAGCTTTACAGGCATTGTGACCGTACAAATGAAGCTAAATTTGATTTCCTGAAGCGAACAGGAGAACTGCTGTTATAGTTTGCAGCGTTAATATTCGTGAATCGGGGCACTCCAAATGGATAATCTCAGCCACTTAGTCTTGCATGCGGATTTCTCAAAAGTTAAGCTTACCTAGAAGTAGCATTAACGCAATATTCGTAGCGTTCGCGAGCAGTAGCAGCTACAGAATTTCAATTGGTGTTTTTAGATTGAGGTTAACTCATGTTCCTCACAATTCGCGTAGTTACGAGCAAGCATGTTCGTGGCATGATCACATCGCAGTGCTGTGAGGAACGCATCCTTTTCAGCAAACTATTCACTCTGACATTTACATCAACGTCATACAAACTATAGTCGCTATAGTTGGTGCGTACTTAACCTTCCCTCAACTGTACTCAGAGGCGTGACGGTAGTTATAGCGCGAGAACAGAACTACGACAAAGGGACAAGAAGGAGACGAGCACTCGTCTCCTCCTTGTCCTTCTGTAGTCGTTCTGTTCTCGCGCTATAACTATCGTCATGTCATACCAACTAGCCCAAACTGCCACGATTCTAATATACTCATAGCTTATTTTACTACGGCTTACCTTCACTTTGGCGAGAGATCTTCTTCAGCCAAAGTAGGCGCTCCTCAGTGACGGGAAACTCATGGAATGAGATGCCAGATGATGTTCGTCCGCTCGATTTACAGAACGGAACGCAACAGTAAACCATAGCTAAATAGTTTACTGCTGCGACCAGTGCTGTCACACTTCAGGCTATGGTAAGCAAAGCAAAAGTGAAAGAACGCCAGTTACGACACACAACGCACGATCACAAAGAAAACAGCACGTGTGATGCCTACGCAGCCTTCGCCCATCTGCAAGAGATGGATGGATGGATGGATGGATGGATGGATGGATGGATGGATGGATGGATGGATGGATGGATGGATGGATGGATGGACGGATGGATGGATGGATATATGGATGGATGGATGGATGGATGGATGGATGGATGGATGGATGGATGGATGGATCGATGGATGGATGGACGGACGGATAGATGTATAGATATGGCTGCACCCTTTAGATCGCGCGGTGGCTAGCGCCACCAAGCCGTAATAATTATTGAACCAAAAACTAGATTTATTTTTTACCCTTAAATAGTGAGCTTGAGGATTCGTACTTTGCAGTGAAGGTTTTAATTTTCACTCGTGCCTTGACTTTAGCCACCAATCAGATAACATCCTTCTAGTTAAGTCTGCCCGCTCAAAGTCTATTTTGCCCTTCCTGTCCCTATACCCCAGTGCTTTGAAAAACTCGGCGCCATCATCCTGAACTATAGGTTGAAGACCTTTACAGAAAATTATCAAGTGTTCAGCAGTTTCTTTTTCCTCTCCACATGCACTGCATACTGTGTCTACCCCTTCGTATTAGGCCCGATATGTCTTGGTTCGCAATACTCCCGTCCTGGCCACAAACAGTAGAGAACTAACCCGAGTATTATCATAGATCCTTTCCTTGGCAATTTCCTGCGCAAAGGTTTGATAGATCTCTAATGCGGACTTCTTAATCATGCCAATTCTCCCCATATCAGCCTCACCTTCCTTCACCTTCTCCTTAACCGATAATTCTTTTTGGTTTCGACCCTACTGTTTTCCAAGTATTGAACAGTCAATTTTCTGGTTCGCTTCCGCCATTTTGTATCGACATTCTTCATGTACAAGTAGCTAAATACCTTCCTAGCCCTACGCTCCTCCCCCATTTCTCTCAATCGCTTCTCAAATTTTATCTTGCTGCTAGCTTCCCTGCCCTCAGATGATGTCCATCCCATATCACCTTGTGCTCCCTGATTTGGTGTATTCCCGTGAGCTCCTAAGGCAAGCCTACCTATTCCACGTTGCTGAATTTCTAATCTAGCTTGAACTTCTGATCTCATGCACAAGACCGCATTGCCGAACGTCAGACCAGGAATTATGTTTCCTTTCCATATTCTTCTCACAACATCATACCTATTGTAATTCCACAGTGC